TCCCCAAACCCCCGTTTTTCCCCCCAAACGCAGGCGCCACACGCTGAGCCGCCGCCGCATCATCCCCCTGCCCCAGTGGAAAACCAACCCCGAGACGGACCCCGAGGCCCTGTTCCACAAGGACCAGCTGGTGCTGGCCCTCTACCCGCAGACCACCTGCTTCTACCGCGCCCTCATCCACGCCCCGCCCCAGCGCGTGAGTGACCGACCCAAAATCGGCCCAAATCGCCCCAAAAATCCCCTCGAAAATGAGGGTTTTTGGGAAAAAATCAGCGCGGCCACTAGGGGGCGCTGTGGGGAAAGGGAGGTGGTTGCTAAGGGGCGGGGCTTGTTGCTAGGGAGCTGTGAGTGGGTTGCTAAGGGGTGTGGCTTGTTGCTAGGGAGGTGTTACCATATAAGGGAAAATCAGTGCGGCCACTAGGGGGCGCTGTGGGGAAAGAGGGGGTTGCCAAGGGGCGGGGTTTGTTGCTAGGGAGATATTACCATATAAGGGAAATTCTAAGCTGTTGCTTTATGAGGGATTGCTAAGGGGTGTGGTTTGTTGCTAGGGTGGTGTTGCCATATAAGGTGGTTGCTAAGGGGTGTGGCTTGTTGCTAAGGCAGGTGTTGCCATATAATGTGGCTTGTTGCTAGGGAGGTGTTACCATATAAGGGAAAATCAGTGCGGCCAAGAAATGGTCAGTATTGCTGTATGAGGGGTTACTAAGGGGTGTGGCTTGTTGCTAAGGGAGGTATTACCATATATGGGAAGTCCTAAGCTATTGCTTTATGAGGGGTTGCTAAGGGGCGGGGCTTGCTGCTAAGGGAGATATTACCATATAAGGGAAATGCTGAGGTATTGATTTATGAGGGGTTGCTAATGGGTGTGCCTTGTTGCTAAGGGGGATGTTACCATATAAGGCAAATGCTAAGCTATTGCTTTATGAGGGCGTTGCTAAGGGGCGTGGCTTGTTGTTAAGGGAGATGTTACCATATAAGGCAAATGCTGAGCTATTGCTTTATGAGGGCATTGCTAAGGGGCGGGGCTTGTTGCTAAGGGGAGTATTACCATATAAGGGAAATGCTAAGGTATTACTTTATGAGGGGTTGCTAAGGGGCGTGCCTTGTTAAGAAGGAGTATTAGCATATAATGGTGTTGCTAAGGGGTGTGGCTTGTTGCTAAGGGGAGGCATTGCTATCTAAGCTGCCTGACCACAAAATCGGCTGAAATCGCCCCAAAAATTTGCTTAAAAATGAGGATTTTTGGTAAAAAATCAGCGCAGCCACTAGGGGGCGCTGTGGGTAAAGGGAGTGGGTTGCTAAGGGGCGGGGCTTGTTGCTAAGGGACACGTTACCATATAAGGAAAAACAATGAGGTCACCAGGGGGTGCTGTGGGAGCTTGGAGGGCGTTGCTAAGGGGCGGGGCTTGTTGCTAAGGAATGACAGTGCCATATAAGGGCATTGCTAAGGGGCGTGGCTTGTTTCTAAGGAATGTCTGTGCCATATAAGTGGGTTGCTAAGGGGCGGGGCTTGTTGCTAAGGAATGTCAGTGCCATATAAGGGGGTTGCTAAGGGGCGTGGCTTGTTGCTAAGGAATGTTTGCCCTATAAGGGGGTTGCTAAGGGGCGTGGCTTGTTGCTAAGGGACATGTTACCATATAAGGAAAAACAATGCGGCCACCAGGGGGTGCTGTGGGAGCTTGGAGGGCGTTGCTAAGGGGCGGGGCTTGTTGCTAAGGAATGTCAGTGCCATATAAGGGGGTTGCTAAGGGGCGTGGCTTGTTGCTAAGGGACATGTTACCATATAAGGAAAAACAATGCGGCCACCAGGGGGTGCTGTGGGAGCTTGGAGGGCGTTGCTAAGGGGCGGGGCTTGTTGCTAAGGAATGTCAGTGCCATATAAGGGGTTGCTAAGGGGCGGGGCTTGTTGCTATGAACCTATTACCATATAAGGAAGCAATCTGCGTGCATGGCTCGTTTCTAATCCTTATTTTTTCCCAAAACTCCCGATTTTTTCCCCAAATTTCCCAGCCCCAGGACGATTATTCGGTGCTTTTCGAGGACACCTCCTACGCCGACGGTTACTCCCCACCCCTGAACGTGGCCCAGCGCTACGTGGTGGCCTGCAAAGAGACCAAAAAAAAGTGAAAATTGGGGAAAAACACCCAAAATTCCGGTAAAACCACCTGAAATTCGGGTAAAACGACCCAAAATTTGGGAAGAGCGGCCTGGATTTAGGGGAGGAGGGGAAAATGGGGGGAAAAGAGGGATTTTGGGGTGGAAAAATGGAAAAAAATGTGATTTTTTTACAGGAAAAATAAAGGTTTTTTTGATGGGAAAATGGAGTAAAAATTGGGATTTTTATGGGGAAATTTTGGTGTTTTTAATAAAGAAAAAATGGGGTTTATGTGGGGATGGAAATTGGATTTAAATGAGAAAAAATGAGGAAAAAAAAAAAGATTTTTTAATGGAGAAAAATTGGAATTTTTCTGGGGAGAAATTGGGATTTTGGGGGGAAATAAATGGGATATTTGTGTGGGGAAATTTGGATTTTTATGGGTAAAAAATGGGGATTTTGGGGGGGAAATTTGGAATTTTTTAGGGAAAAAAATAAGGATTTTTTTTGGGAAAAAAATGGGATTTTTACTGGGGAATATTGGGGTTTTTTGATGAAAAATTGCCAATTTAAGGAGAAAAATCACGATTTTTTTAGGGGGAAATTTGGGATTTTTATGTGAAAAATTTGGAGTTTTGGAAAAAAACTGAAAATTTTTTTGGGAAAAAAAAGGGATTTTCATGGGGAAAGTTTGGCGTTTTTTAGGGGAAAAATTGAGGTATTTTTTGGGGAAAAAAAGGGATTTTTTGGGTGGAAAACTCAAAATATTTTTGGGGAAAATGTGGGTTTTTTAAGGGCAATAGTTGGGATTTTATTGAGGGGAAAATGTGGGATTTTTGTGGTTAAAATGGGGGGGAAATGCCCCAAAATTTAGAAAAAAAAGCATAAAAATGCCCCAAAATTGAGGAAAAAATGCAAAAAATTTTTGGGAGGGTTTGGAGAATTCAAAAAAAATTTACTTTGAGATAAAAAATTGGGGGAAAAAAGGAGAAAAATGGTTTAAAAATGTTTTAAAAATGGAGATTTGAGTTTTCAAAATGGCGGCTGAAAGGGGGAGGGGAAAAAGGAAATGATGTCATAGGGGTGTGGCCCAACAAAGCCACACCCCCTTTAATAATGACTGATTAGTTTTGTTGTTAAAAGATTTTATTCTGAATAAATAAATTAAAAACAATAAAAACTCATTGTGGGCGTGGCTTCACGTGGGGGCAGAGCTTGGGATGATGACATCATCAGGCTCCGCCCATTCCTCTTCAGGCTCCGCCCATTCCTCTTCAGGCTCCGCCTCTCCCAGGCAGCGACGAATCAGATCTCCCCACAGGAGGTGGGTGTGGCACCTGTGGGAGGGGTCAGAGTGAGGACACGCCCCTTTGGACAAACCCCGCCCACTTCAGCTGAATTTTGTTTCCTTATAAGGAAAGCGCTCCCCTAGCAACAAGCCCCGCCCCTTAGCAACCACTTCAAAGCTTTCCTTATAAGGAAAATGCTCCCCTAGCAACAAGCCCCGCCCCTTAGCAACCACTTAAATGCTTGCTTTATAAGGAAAACACTTGCCTAGCAACAAGCCCCGCCCCTTGGTAACCACATTAAAGCTTTCCTTATAAGGAAAATGCTCCCCTAGCAACAAGCCCCGCCCCCTAGCGCTCTCTGCCAACAAGCTCCGCCCCCTATGTGCCAATTAAAGGCTTTCCCTTATAAGGGAAAGGAGCCTTAGCAACAAGCCCCACCCCCTAGCAACCATTTAAATCCTTTCCTTATAAGGAAAACGGCATTAGAAACAAGTCCCGCCCACTGGCAGCCATCTTGGTATCTTTCCATATAAGGAAAAACACCTTTAGAAACAAACCCTGCCCCCTGGTGGCCATCTTGAAACTTTTCCTTATAAGGAAAAACCTTTATAAATAAGCCACGCCCTCTGGCAGCCATCTTGAAACCTTTCCTTATAAGATTAAACACCTTTTATAACAAGCTCCGCCCACTAGCAGCCATATTGGAACCTTTCCTTATAAGGAAAAACTCTTAAAAACAAGCCCCGCCCCCTGGCAGCCATCTTGAATCCATTTCTTATAAAACACGTTTTGTAACAAGCTCCACCCACTGGCAGCCATATTGGAAGCTTTCCTTGCAAAAGGTTTTAAACAAGCCCCGCCCTCTGGCAGCCATTTTGGAACTTTTCCTTATAAGGTAACGGTCTCTAAACAACAAGCCCCGCCCCCCCAGCACAAGCCACGCCCCCTTTTTACCTGGGACAGGCGCCCCCTACTGGCAGCAGCTGCAGCGGCTCCGGGGCCAGGAAGAGCCGGGCCAGGCAGGGGGGGTGGGCGGCCATCTTGCACTGGGGGCGGGGACAGCGCAAAAGGGGCGTGGCCTGTGCCTGGGAGGGGCGGGGCAACGTCAAAACCCCGAAATTCCTGCTCAGGTGGCATTAATTTGCATAAAATCTGCATTTTGGAAGGTTTTATTGCTTTGGAAGCAGAGCTGTTGATTAAGAATTCATCAGGCCACGCCCCCAGACTCTCAGGCCACGCCCACATTTTAAAATGTAAATAATTTTCCATTTTTAAGCAAAAAATTAATTAAATTTTAATTTTTACACCTAAAAAGGCCACGCCCTTTTTAGGCCACACCCATTTTGCCTACATTTAGCCACACCCCTTTAAGCCCCGCCCATTTTGCCAACTAGAACGAGGCCCCACCCACTCCAGGCCCCTCCCACTTTGTCCCATACCCAGTTAAGCTCTGCCCACTTCAAGCCCCTCCCATTAGGCCACACCCACTTTAATGTCTCCACTTAAGCCCCTCCCACTTCCATGTAAGCCCCACCCCCTTTAAGCCACACCCACCTCATTAAACATTTCTTAACCCCTCCCCTTTTAAGCCCCACCCACCTTAAACCCCGCCCACATCAAAGCAATCAAAGCCCCTCCCCCTTTCCCCCAAACAGTTTAAGCCCCTCCCCTTTTAAGCCCCACCTCCTTTAAGCCCCGCCCCTTACCTCCCCACACAGGCCACACCCACAATCCTCCCTTTCCACCTCCTGGCTCCGCCCCTTTTTCCTTTTAAGGCGCGGCAGCCCCGCCCCCTCCTCCTGCACCACGTGAGGGGGCGGGGCCAGCTCCAGGGCGGGGCGGGGTGGGCGGAGCCAGCGGATTCTCAGCGGGAGGCGGGACCAGGGCGGGGCCCGGAGGAGGCGGGGCAGGAGGCGGAGGGCGAAGCTGATTGGCTGCTCCCGGGGGCGGCGAGGGGGCGGGGCCAGGAGGCAGCGGGAGGAGTTCGGGTGTTGCCACGCCCACTCGAACTGAAAGGAAGGGGCGGGGCTTAGAGGAAAGGGGGAGGGGTTTTGTTTGAATTAATGAGGTGGGCGGGGCTTAAATGGGGTAAGGGTTAAGTGGGTGTGGCTTCAGCTAAAAGGGGGCGGGGCTTAATTGGGAACATTCTAATTAGGTGGGAGGGGTTTAGGTGGGGGTGGGGTTTAAATCTTAAAAGGGGGTGGGGCTTAAGTGGGTGGAGCTTGAATGTGTAAATAAGTGGGAGGGGCTTAAAAGGGGAGGGATTAAAATGGGTTTAATGAGGTGGGCGGGGCTAAAGTGGGTGGGGCTAAAGGTGGGAGTGGCTTAAATTAAAGGAGACAATTTTAAATTGAAATTTAAAAGGTGGGCGGGGCTTAATTGGGCGGGGTTTGGAAGTGGGCGGGGCTTAGATGTGGAGGTAATTAACGAGATTTAATGAGGTGGGCGGGGCTTAAATGAATGGGGTGTAAAAGTGGGAGGGGCTTGGATCAGAAGGGGAGGATTTAAGATGGAGGAATGAGGTGGGCGGGGCTTACAGGGGGTGGGTTTAAAAGTGGGCGGGGCTTAATCTAAAATAGGAATTTAACATGGTGTCAGGAGGTGGGCGGAGCTTAAGTGGGAGGGGCTTAAAGGAGGAGGGGTTTAAGATGGATTAATGAGGTGGGCGGGGCTTAGATGAATTGGGTTTGAAGTGGGAGGGGCTTAGAGGAGGTTTGGATTGATTAATGAGGTGGGCGGGGCTTAAGTGGGAGGGGCTTAGATTAAAAGAGGAGGGGTTTAGGATGAATTAATGAGGTGGGCGGGGCTTAGATTAGTTGGGTTTAAAAGTGGGAGGGGTTTAGATTAAAGGAGGAGGGGCTTAAGATGGATTAATGAGGTGGGCGGGGCTTTAAAAGTGGGCGTGGCTCACCCTGAGGGCGGCGACATCGGAGGGGAAGCCGTGGACGAAAAGTTCCATTTCCCTTTTTTGGGGGAAAAACGTTGAAAATTGCATCAAAATTCATTTAAAATCAAAATAATTACTGGGGGTAATTAGTTTAAAAATTGATTAACGCGTTTTTAATTAAATATTATTGAAAATCCTCAAAATTGCCCTTTAAACACCCCAAAATCCCCCCAAAAATTCTTTTAAAAATCCCTTTAAGCATCCCCAAACCCCCTTAAATCCATTTAAATCCCCCAAATCCGCTTTTAGCTTCTTAAAATCCCCCAAAATCCTCCCCAAAATCACTTTTAAATCACATTAAACCCCCCCAAATCCACTTTAAATCACCCAAATTCCCCTTAAATCCCCCTTGAGCCCCCCAAAATCCTTCCCAAGTCAACATTTAAATCCCTTTAAACTCCCCAAATTCCCTTTAAACCCCCCCCAAATCCCCTTTTATTCCCTTTAAACCCCAGAAATCCCCTTGAAATCCCTTTGAACCTCCCGAATTCCCCTTTAATCCTTTGAAACCCCCAAAATCCCCCTTTAAATCCCTTTAAACTCCCCCAAATTCCCTTTTAATCCCTTTAAACCTCAAAAATCCCTCTTAAACCCCCCCAAAAATCCACTTTAGTCCCTTTAAACTCCCCTCCCTTTTATTCCCTTTAAACCCCACAAATCCCCTTTAAATCCCTTTGAACCTCCCAAATTCCCCTTTAATCCTTTTGAACCCCCCAAAATCCCCTTTAAACTCCCCCAAATCCCCCTTAAATCCCTTTAAACCCCCAAAATCCCCCTCAAAGTCCCTCAAAACCCCCCAAAATCCCCTTTAAACTCCCCAAAATCCCCTTTTAATCCCTTTAAACCTCAAAAATCCCTCTTAAACCCCCCCAAAAATCCACTTTAGTCCCTTTAAACTCCCCCAAATCCCCTTTTAATCCCATTAAACCCCAAAAATCCCCCTCAAAGCCCTCCGAAATCCCTTTAAACTCCCTCAAATCCCCCAAAATCCCCCTTTAAACTCTCCCAAATCCCCCTTTAATTCCATTAAACCCCAAAAACCCCCCTCAAAGCCCTCCGAAATCCCTTTAAACTCCCTCAAATCCCCCAAAATCCCCCTTTAAACTCTCCCAAATCCCCCTTTAATTCCATTAAACCCCAAAAACCCCACTCAAAGCCCCCTTAAATCCCTTTAAACCCCCCCAAAATCCCCCCAAATCCCCTTTAAATCTCTTCAAACCCCCAAAATCCCCCTCAAAACCCCCAAAATCCCCTTTAAATCCCTTTAAAGTCCCTCAAATCCCAAAAAAAACCCCCTTAAATCCCTTTAAGCTCCCCGNCCAGGGCCCCCTCCCGCTGGTCCTGCGGGCTCCCCCGCGCCTCCTGCCGCCGTTGTGCTGCCGCAGCCGCCGCCGCGGATCCACCGTGAACCCCACGTAGGTTCGGCCCCGGCAGCGGCCCCGGGGAGCGGCGGAGCGGAGCAGGTACACCGCCCTCATCGCCGCCATCGCCGCCCCACAATGCCGCGGGGCCGCTTCCGGTTCCGCGCCCTTTAAATCCCCCCAAATCCCCTTTAAATCCCCTCAAACCTCCCTGAGACCCCAAAAATCCCCCTTAAATCCCTTTAAACTCTCTCAAATCCCCTTTTAAATCCCCCCAAATTCCCCCTGAACCCCCCAAAATCCCCTTTAAATCCCTTTAACCCCCCCTAAATTCTCCCCTAAACCCCCCCAAATCCAGCCACTTCCGCCTCGGTATAGGGGAGGGAGAGTGCCTCGGTACCCACAATGCATTGCGAAGTGAGGAGGTTTCCGGTGTGTTTTGCCTCGGTAAAAATGGCGGCCGGTTTGCCTCGGTACCCACAATGCATTGCGAAGGGAGGGGTTTCCTGTGTGTTTTGCCTCGGTAAACATGGCGGCGGGTTTGCCTCGGTACCCACGATGCATTGCGGAAGGGAAATGTGGTGTTTTTGCCTCGGTAAAAATGGCGGCGGGTTTGCCTCGTTACCCACGATGCATTGCGGTCCGTGAGGGGAATTTTCGGGGTTTTTTTGCGCCTCGATAAAAATTGCGGCGGTTTTGACTCGGTGCCCAAAATTACTTAAAGAGAACGAGGAGGAGAAGGAAGAACAAGAGAATTTTCTCCTTTATTGGCTCGGATTTCCGCCTCGGTAAAATAAGGCGGATTTGCCTCGTTACCCACAGTGCATTGCGGTTCGTGAGGGGGAATTTTCGGTCATTTTCCTCCTCGGCAAAAATGGCGGCGGTTTTGCCTCGCTGCCCATAATTATTTAAAGAGAATGAGGAGGAAAAGGACCAGGAGGAGGAAGAGGAGGAAAAAGAGGAGAAATTTCTTCTTTAATGCTCGGATTTCCCCCTCGGTAAAATAAGGCGGATTTGCCTCGTTACCCACAATGCATTGCGGCACGTGAGGGAAACTTCCGCCTTTTTCGCCTCGGTAAAAATGGCGGCAGTTTTGCCTCGGTTCCCAAAATTATTTATAGAGAATGAGGAGGAGGAGGAGGAGGAGGAGGAGGAGGAGGAGGAGGTGGAAGACGAGGAAAAACTTTTCTCTTTTAATGCTCGAATTTCCGCCTCGGTAAACTCGTGGAGATTTTGCCTCGTTACCCACAGTTCATTGCGACCCCTGCGGGAAACTTCCGGTTGTTCCGCCTCGGTAAAAATGGCGGCCGCTTTGCCTCGTTACCCACAACGCCCCGCGAAACGTTCCCATTTGCCTCGTTACCCACAACGCATTGCTTCGCTTCCGCCTCGTTGCCCACAGCGCCCCGCGCGGAGCGGAAGTGACGCACCGGAAGCGGAAATGGAGCCTCCCACGGCGGAGGAGCTGCGGCTGCGGCTGCAGGAGCGGCTCCAGGCCGAGCACGTGGTAATTAACGCGCTAATTAATTAATTAATTAACCGCTAATCATGGGTGTCAGCGGGTTCGTTACGGTGGGGAGGGCGTTAATTCGCCGGGGGGGCGGTTAATGAGCGGTTGGGGGGCGTTAATTAGGAGGGGGAGGGGTTAATTAGGGTTAATTAGGGTATTAATGAGGGTCGGGAGGGGCTAATTAGTGCTGGGAGGGGTTCATGAGTCCGTGTTAATTAAGGCTTTATTAATCCGTGAAGTAAATAATTAGTGCTTAACGGGCACTAATTAATTAATTAGCAGGTAATGGTGGTTAATTAGTAATTATCTGCTGTTAATTAACCGGCCAGGAGTGTTAATGAGCGGCTCACGGGGGTTAATTAGCAATCAATGTGCGTTAATTAGTGCCTAAGAGGTGTTAATTAGCGGCTAATTGGTTGTAATTGGTGATTAATGGCTCTTAATTAGTGATTGACAGCTGTCAATCAGTTTCTGATTGGTGTTAATTAATGGTTGGGGTGTTAATTGTAACTGCTGATAATTGTAATTACAGTGAGGGGGGAATGGCTGCTCATTAGTGAGGAATTGGTGTTAATTAAGTGCTGAAAACCCCTAATTAACATTTAATAGATGCTAATTGGACTCTTAATTATGTCTCTAATTGCTAACTGTATACTTATTAATTAAATTGTAATTATAATAGGCGATTAATAGGTCTGAATTAGTGTTAATTAGTGCCAAAATGGTGCTAATTAGCAGTTAATAAACACTAATTAGCTCTTAATAGGAGTATTAATAATTAGTGTTTAATAAGTGTATTAATTAGTATTTAATACGTGTATTAATTAGCAATTAGTGTCTAATAAGTGTTAATTAGTATTTAATAAGTGTTAATTAGTATCTAATAAGTCTTAATTAGTATTTAATAAGTGTTAATTAGTATTTAATAATTGTTAATTAGTCATTGAGGGTGCTAATTATATTTATTAATTAAAGTTCAATGTGCTTAATAAATTATTAATTTAAATTTAATTAAGTATATTAAATTTAATTATAATTAAAGGCCGACGGGCGGTAATTAATGCTAATTACTAATTATTAATACTGCTTTTAATTAGTGATTAATTAGCGTGGTCATCACCATTAAACCCCCATTGCTCACCAGATAAAAGCCCCTAATTATTAATTAATTAATTAATTAGTTATTATTAATGGTTATTAGTGGCTGGTGGCAGGGTTAATTAATGCTAATTAATAACGATGAGCTGTTAATTAGTATTTAATAAGTGTTAATTAGTCTTTAATAAGTGTTAATTAGTATCTAATAAGTGTTAATTAGTATTTAATAAGTGTTAATTAGTATTTAATAAGTGTTAATTTGTATTTAATAAATGTTAATTAGTATTTAATAAGTGTTAATTAGTCATTGAGGGCACTAATTATATTTATTAATTAAAGTTCAATGTGCTTAATAAATTATTAATTTAAATTTAATTAAGTATATTAAATTTAATTATAATTAGAGGCCAATGGGCGGTAATTAATACTAATTATTAATTATTAATACTGCTTTTAATTAGTGATTAATTAGCGTGGTAATCACCATTAAACCCCCATTGCTCACCAGATAAAAGCCCCTAATTATTAATTGATTAATTAATTAGTTATTATTAATGGTTATTAGTGGCTGATGGCGGGGTTAATTAATGCTAATTAATAACGATGAGCTGTTAATTAGTGATTAATTAGCGCGGTAATCAGCACTAAACCCCCATTACTCACCAGATAAAAGCCCCTAATTATTAATTAATTAATTAATTAATTAATTAATTAATTAATGATTATTAATGGTTATTCGTGGCGGCTGGGGGGCTGGGGCGGGGCTAATGAACGCTAATTAGCGCTAATTGCAGGAGGTGCAGGACTGCCCCCAGCTGTGCCGGGGCAGCTTCCGCGTCTGCGTCGTTTCCGGAATTTTCCGCGGCCTCAAAACCCTGCAGAGGCACCGGTGGGGGCGGGGCCTAAAGGGGGGCGGGCTTAAATGATGAAATGGGCGGGGCTTAAATAGAATTAAAGGGGGGGAATGGGCGGGGCTTAAATTGGGTTGGGATTGTTAAGTGGGCGGGGCTTAAATGGGGCGAGATGTAAAAGGGGCGTGGCTTAATGGGGTTGGGGTGAATAAAGGGGCGGGGCTTAAACTGGGTGTGACAGATGGGGCGGGGCTTAATGGGAATTGAGGGGTTAATTAACTTCATCAAGGGGCTAATGAGGGATTTTGATTGACTAATTAATGGCTTAATTAATGCATTAATTAATCGATTAGTTAATGGATTAATTAATGGATTAGTTAATGGAGTAATTAATGGGTTAATTTATGGATTGATTAAAAGATGAATTAATGCATTAATTAATTGATTAAATGATTAATTACTGGAATAATTAATGCATTAATTAATTGATTATTGGCATAATTATTGGATTAATTGATTAAAGGAATAAGTAATGGAATAATCAATGCATTTATTCATCGATTATTGGCATAATGAATGGATTAATTAATTTATTAAAGGATTAATTAACGGAATAATTAATGCATTAATAATCGATTATTGGCATAATTAATGGCTAGAGGGGATTAATGAGGGCTTTTATGGATTGATTAATTAATTAATGGAGCGAGGGCGCTTAACGATGTGTTTCAATGGATATATTAATTAATTAATGGGTGATTTAATTAATGGCTGGAGGGGGTTAATGAGGGGTTTAATGGATTAATTAATTAATTAATTAAGTGAGGGGGTTTAATGATGGTTTCAATGGATAGATTAATTAATTAACGGGCGGTTTAATTAAAGGATCGATGGGGGTTAATGAGGGATGGATTGAATAATTAAGGGGTTAACTAATTAATTATGCAAGTTGGGTCAACGAGGGGACTATTAAGGGGTTAATTAATCAGTGAGCGGCGTTAATTAGCGGCTAATTACCCCAGGCTGGTTAACGAGGCGCTGAAGGAGGAGCTGGGCCGCATCCACGCCCTGGAGCAGCGCACGCTCACCCCCGAGCAGTGGGAGGCGGAGCGCGGCTCATTAGCATAAATCTGCATGCCCGCCCCCGCCGCCCCCGCCTCATTTCCATGGATTTGCATAAATCCCCGCGGCCCGGCTCTGATTGGTGGAGGCCACGCCCCCTTTAGGGCCTGAAATGGGGGGCGGAGGTGGCGGTAATTTGCATAAATTTGCATTAAAACGGCAATAAACATTCCTCATTTGCATATTGTGGTGATGTCATTCATTGAGGGCGGCTCGTGGGTGGGATTAATTTGCATAAATTTGCATAGCAGCAATAAGTATCCCTTATTTGCATATAAGGGTGATGTCGTACTCGAGTGAGGCTGGTTTTGGGGTGGGGTTTATTTGCATAAATCTGCATAAAGATAGACAACGCCCTAATTTGCATATCGTGGTGAATTTCTTGGGTAATGACAGCTTTGAGGGGTGCTCATTTGCATAAATTTGCATTAAATGAGAATCGCACTCCTCATTTGCATATCGCGATGACGTCATTGGCTGAGAGTAACTTTGGGGTGTGGGGTTGATTTGCATGAATTTGCATAAAACAAAAACCCATCCCTCATTTGCATATAATAGTGATACGGTTGGGTGGGGAAAGCTTCAGAATGGGGGTTCATTAACATAAATTTGCATAAAGACAGCACGCACCCCTCATTTGCATATCGCGGTGGCATCCTTAGGCTTGGGCGGCTTTGATTTGCATAAATTTGCATAAAGACAGCACGCACCCCTCATTTGCATATCGCGGTGGCATCCTTAGGCTTGGGCGGCTTTGATTTGCATAAATTTGCATAAAGCCGACGCACCTCCCTCATTTCCGTGCCGCGGCTTCACCCTCAGGTGAAGGGAGGCTTTGGGGTGGGCTTGATTTGCATAAATTTGCATAAAATTGCCGTTATTTAGGGAGGGAGGGACTCCCAGTTCGATCCAGCGCGGCGCCTCGCGGTGCATTGTGGGTACCGAGGCGGAAGTACCCCCATGTTCCCGCGGTGCATTGTGGGTACCGAGGCAGAAGTATCCCCTTATATTTCCGCAGTGCATTGTGGGTACCGAGGCGGAAGTAGCTCCCACTTCCGCAATGCTCCCAGTGCTCCCAGTTCGGCTCCCAACGCTCCCAGTTTGGCTTCCAGTGCTCCCAGTTCTCCCAGTTTGGCTCACAGCGCTCCCAGTTCTAGCCCCCAGCGCCGCCATTGCGGCGCCTCGCGGTGCATTGTGGGTAACGAGGCAAAAGCCACTCCCCGCATTCCCGCAGTGCATTGTGGGTACCGAGGCGGAAGCCAGCTTGGCTCCCAGTGCTCCCAGTTCGGCTCCCAGCGCCCCCAGTGCTCCCAGTTCGGCTCCCAGTCCTCCCAGTTCGGCTCCCAGTGCTCCCAGTTTGATCCCCCAGCGCTGCCATTGCGGCGCCTCGCGGTGCATTGTGGGTACCGAGGCACCGCCCAGCTCCAACACCTGAGACAGGTGCGCGGCCACGCCCAAACCGGTCCAAACCAGTCCGGACCAGTTCAAACCAGTCCGGGATGGCGGCCATGGCGGCGCTGGCGCTCGGGGTGGCGCTCGGGGCGGTTTTGGCGGCGCTCGGGGGGGTTTTGGTGGCGGCGCTGGCGCGGAGAGGGGCCCGGGACAATGGGGGGAGGAATCAATTAAGCCCCTTAATTAGCACTAATGAACCATTAGTTTGCCTTAATTAGCTCTAATGAACCCTTTATTCCCCTTAATTAGCTCTAATGAACCCTTTATTCCGCTTAATTAGCTCTAATGAACCCTTAATTAGCCTTAATTAGCACTAATGAAACCTTAATTGGCCTCAATTAGCACTAATGAAACCTTAATTAGCCTTAATTAACTCTAAGGAACCCTTAATTAACCTTAATTTGATCTAATCAACCCTTAATTAGCACTAATGAACACTTAATTAGCCTTAATTAGCCCTAATTAATCTTCACAGGCGCTGGGGAGCGGATCGAGAACACCATGGAGGCTTTTGAGAAGTGAGGCCACGCCCCCTTCCCTTGGCCACGCCCCCTTTCCATTGGCCCCGCCCCCACTGTGAGCGCTAATCGCTCTAATTGGCTGTAACGCAAAACCCCGCCCCCTTTCCTGTGGCCCCGCCCCCTTTTCTATCTCTGACCTCTCTAATTGGCTGGATGTCTTAACCCCGCCCCTTTTTCTTAGGCTCCGCCCCCACCTCAGTTTTCAGAGCTTTTAATTGACGTTGTATCTAAGCCCCGCCCCTTTTCCCATTGGCCACGCCCCCACCAGCTCCAAGGGTTATAATTGTTTGTAGAGCTAAGCCCCGCCCCTTTTCCCTTAAGCCACGCCCCCTCCAGCACCTCCAAGGCTTTTAATGGGGTGTAGAGCTAAGCCCCGCCCCTTTTCCCTTTAGCCACGCCCCCTCCATCACCTCCAAGGCTTTAAATGGGGTGTAGAACTAAACCCCGCCCCTTTTCCCTTAAGCCACGCCCCCTCCAGCACCTCCAAGGCTTTTAATGGGGTGTAGAGCTAAGCCCCGCCCCTTTTCCCTTTAGCCACGCCCCCTCCATCACCTCCAAGGCTTTTAGTGGGTTGCATCGCTAAGCCCCGCCCCTTTTCCCTTTGGCCACGCCCCCTCCATCACCTCCAAGGCTTTTAGTGGGTTGCATCGCTAAGCCCCGCCCCTTTTCCCTTTGGCCACGCCCCCACCACCATCTCCAAGGGTTATAATTGTTTGTAAATCTAAGCTCCGCCCCTTTCCCCTTTGGCCACGCCCCCTCCATCACCACCAAGGCTTTTAATGGGGTGTAGAGCTAAGCCCCGCCCCTTTTCCCTTTGGCCACGCCCCCCCACCATCTCCAAGGGTTATAATTGGTTGTAAATCTAAGCCCCGCCCCTTTTTCCTTAAGCCACGCCCCCTCCATCACCCCCAAGGGTTTAAATGGGGTTTAGAGCTAAGCCCCGCCCCTTTTCCCTTTGGCCACGCCCCCTCCATCACCTCCAAAGGTTTTAATGGGGTGTAGAGGGGTGATTAATGGATATTAGCGGTAATTAATGGGAATTGGTGGTGATTAATGGATATTGGTCATGATTAATAGAAATTAGTATTAATTAATGGATATTGATCATAATTAATGGAAATTAATGGTAATTAATGGATATTGGTAATGATTAATAGAAATTAATGGTAATTAATGGATATTGGTCATAATTAATAGAAATTAATGGTAATTAATGGATATTGGACATGATTAATAGAAATTAATGGTAATTAATGGATATTGATCATAAATAATGGAAATTAATGGTAATTAATGGATATTGGACATGATTAGTAGAAATTGGTATTAATTAATGGATATTTGTCATGATTAATAGAAATTAATGGTAATTAATGGATATTGGTCATGATTAATGGAAATTGATGGTAATTAATGGATATTGGTCGTAATTAATAGAAATTGATGGTAATTAATGGATATTGGACATGATTAATAGAAATTGGTGTTAATTAATGGATATTGGTAATGATTAATAGAAATTAATGGTAATTACTGGATATTAGTGATAATTAACGGAAATTAATGGTAATTAATGGATATTGGACATGATTAATAGAAATTGGTGTTAATTAATGGATATTGGTCGTAATTAATAGAAATTGATGGTAATTAATGGGTATCGGTCATAATTAGTGGAAATTGGTGGTAATTAATGGATATTGGTAATTATTAATAGAAATTGGTGGTAATTAATGGATATTAGTGATAATTAATGGAAATGGGTGTTAATTAATGGATATTGGTCATGATTAATAGAAATTGATGGTAATTAATGGATATTGGACATGATTAATAGAAATTGGTGGTAATTAATTAACCATTAATCAACCCAGATTATCTGTTAATTAGCCTTAATTTCCCATTAATTAACCATAATTAACCATTGATTAGCCCTAATTAACCATTAACCCTAATTAACCATAAATTAACCCTAATTAACCGTTTATTATCCTTAATTAACCGTTAATTATCCCTAATTATTTCTTAATTAACCTTAATTACCCATTCATTAGCCCTAATTAAGGGTTAATTACCCTCCCCCAGGACCTCCCCCCGTACCGGAGCCCCCTGGAGGTGACGTTCGCTCCAGGTGGGGGAAATCGGGATTTTGGGGTAAAAAATGGGGATTTTGGGAAAATTTGGGGTAAAAATGGGGATTTTGGGAAAATTTGGGAAATTTTTGGGTTGAAAATTCGGAATTTGGGGAAATTTTGGGTCAAAAATTGGGAAATTTGGGAAAATTTGGGGAATTTTGGGGGTCAAAAAAAGGAAAATTTGGGTTTAAAATTGGGAATTTGGGGAAAATTTGGGAAATTTTGGGTTTAAAATTGGGAATTTTGGGAAAATTTGGGTCAAAAATTGGGAATTTGGGGAAAATTTGGGGAATTATGGGGTTCAAAAAAGGGAAATTTGGGTCAAAAGTTGGGAATTTTGGGGAAAATTTGGGATAAAAAATGGGAATTTGGGGAAAAATTGGGAAATTTTGGGTTTAAAATTGGGAATTTTGGGAAAATTTGGGGAATTTTGGGATCAAAAAAGGGAAATTTGGGAAATTTTGGGTCAAAATTTGGGAATTTGGGGGAAATTTGGGGTAAAAATGGGGATTTTGGGAAAATTTGGGGAATTTTGGGTTTAAAATTGGGAATTTTTGGGCGAAATTTGGGAGGAAATTGGAATTTTGAGATAATTTGAGTTTAAAATGGAATTTTGGGGACAAAACAGAGGATTTTTGTTAAATTTTGTGTTAAAAATTGGGAGTTTTGGGAAAATTTGGACTCAAAAGTTGGGAATATTGGGGAAATTCGGGTTAAAAATGGGATTTTGGGGAGAAAAATGGGAATTCTTGGGTGGAAAGACTGAATTGTAGAGGATTTAATGGATATTGGTAATGATTAATAGAAATTAATGGTAATTAATGGATATTGGTAATGATTAATAGAAATTGGTGTTAATTAATGGATATTGGACATGATTAATAGAAATTGCTGGTAATTAATTAACCATTAATCAACCCAGATTATCTGTTAATTAGCCTTAATTTCCCATTAATTAACCATAATTAACCATTGATTAGCCCTAATTAACCATTAACCCTAATTAACCATTAATTAACCCTAATTAACCGTTTATTATCCTTAATTAACCGTTAATTAACCCTAATTATCTGT